GTGACATTTTCGGCGGAACTCTAGGCTTGGTAGACACAAGTTTCGGTTATCAGGCACCAAAACAATTGTGGCTTGATGCAGCCAAAGCGAAGGTAGGCTAGTTTTGACAAGTGTTAAGCTAACAAAAAGAATCAGCAGTATGTCTTGTTATTCGTCCCGACATCACTACATCCTTCTTGAGGCGCCGAGTGAAACATTTCATTTCCGAGCACTCCCACTAATGAAGGAACCAAGTGAAGTTCTCCTAAGTTACATATTATTGACTCTCAGTACTCTTTATAAGTACATTTGATGTATGCATCATGCATTATGCAAAAAAGTCGAGTGGTGATGTTCAAAAGCGTTAGTTCCACAGGAATGAGATGAAAAAATTGGAATTACGCCTTAATTTGCCTAATGGATGTGCTTTTCAAGGTTACATACGGAGAGTGTTTAAAATTACGCTTCAAGACGGCTAGACAATTTTTTTAGGAAACTGTTTAGCAGGTTTGAAATAAGCGTCTTAAGAAGTGTATGGTAATAGTTACGTCACCAGCGTTGGCCGATCTAAGCTGATGCTTTGATTATTGGCACACAATCGTTGATTTTCAGGGTTTGCAACTCGAAGGTACTTTCGTTCGTCGCGCAGGGAACATTAATATGGAAATGACCCTGACTAATAAGGTGAAAGGACAGCAAAGTCAAACTGATTTCTTGGTTAGCATTTTTAAATCATTCCAGGCAATGCAACCCCTTTCGGGATTCGCGATTCAGTTCAACAGGAACTCGTTTGGATTGGCTCCAGCTGAACCTCTCAGGGTTCCGTCTCCACTGATGCCAAGCCAGAGCGTCAATGTGAGTAATTCTTGCTTGGACAGTGACGATACAGTGCTATAATATTCTTCTTAGGTTACTCTGCGATGTGATACATCAGGAGGTGTTCAGAAAATGGAACCGCTTACCAATTTACAGGTATGTTTTATTGAAACCTAGTTATTTTTCTAAAGCCAGTGCAAGAGAATTTTTGATCAGTGTGACTTTTTAAACTTCTTACAGTGCAAGAAAAGGATGTTAGGTTAAAGTTGCCGTTTTGAAATTGGATTTTACTATTTATATGTAACACTTGCTGTACTACTAATCTAAACTTCTGGCGCTGGTGAGAAATTTTTCTTTCCTTGTCCTTATTGACTAATGCAGCCATTCTCTTGACTTTGTTACCAGCCCGGAGAGCTCAGTTCCAGTACAATTAAAGCAAATTGAAATGCGTTCATTTGTTACATTATTTACGATACATTACATAATAAATCGCGCGTTTCTGATGAAATCGACGATGATCTCATTTTCAATAACGTTGAATATGTCGGCCATAATATTGGATCCCAGCTGCGTACCCTTGAAATCAAAATTTGAGCTTGTCTTTTCATGTGGCATGTTCACACTGTCCCCGTGATTACCTACCTTTTCCAAAAATGGGAATTTGTAGCCGGAATAACTGTCGCTCCAACCATGCCCTTCCCACCCTCCCCGCCCTTCCTGGAGTAATCCGTTTTCCCAGTAACATCCCTATCATATTCCCTGCTGTTAACAATGCAAGCCGCCAGACTAATGAAACTGGACAGATACGAATCGTGGGTACAATATAATATAAAGGACATAAAGTTATTGTCCCAATTTGTTCTTCCAATAATTTCCACAAAAAATAATTTCTCGAAGCAATTACTTTCTGTAAACTCTTGTTCCTTTCTTCCGTTTCTGAATGACGTTGTCGAATTTGCTTTCAATGGCTCTGTGCACCACTTTCACAGGAATATTGCCATCTGTCAGACCTCGTTTGGATCCTAAAAATCACATAGCTTTACCGAGAAAGATTACTATCGAGTTGGGTGAGGTCGCACCTTCTGTCAGGGAACTATTGAGACGTTTGATGATCTCAGCACGACCCTCATCCGTCTTCGATAACTCCGTCACAATTTCGTTAAATACATCTTGTTTGTTGAAAAATATCAAAAGTCCACAGTTTTGGATGGCGTCCACGCTGAGGTATCCGCTTAAATAGTGAATTGGAGATTGGAAAATTTGAGGGGAATGCCCTCATCGAATGATGTTCTCACGTCGAGTATTCTTATACTACGTTCCATTGCCGTTCGCTTCTCTTCTTCTTCGTCTTGGACGTTGAAATCAGCCATCGATGTCACAAAAAGTATGAAGTTCATGTAAGCCTTCTCTATCAGCTGCAATCCATTGCTGCATGAATTCTGGTATTTTCATCTGAAACGTATCATAATCTCCGTTGTTCATCTCTTTACTAACACGGTAGCCCATGAAGGTACAGAAGGTATACCGAAGAGATGAGGTGGTGAAAAATAGGGAGTTTTAGAGAGGAACAAAGACTCATTCAGGTATTCGAAGACATGGCAAGGAGAAAGGAAGACAGCAAGTAGCAAAGCAGGTGTAGGGGGGGGGGGTGAGTTTGAATGAAGTAAAGGCCTAAGCTTCCCAAACCAGAATTCATTGATTATTTATCTGTGTAAGAGCCAAAACCTTCAGGTGGAAGGGGAACTAATTCGCAAAGAAAATTTGAAGGGATCTTCGTTTTACTTCCTCCGTGGGAAGGATAGCATACGGTCAGCTGTAAAAAAATCAGCCCTGACATCTGAGAGGATTCTGGTTTACAGTAAGGTAACTGTGAAAAGACTACTACGTAATTTTCGGTTGTGACAAATAGAAGCATTTCAAAGAAGAGAAATAGAGAGAAAAGAAAGAGCCAGCAGTTGTTACAAAAATGCAGTGACGCTGAGGGGATCAAGACGAGAACGATGAGGCGAACACCACAAACTGACGAGAAACAGACGGAGGAGAAAAGAAGCAGCTGGGAGGACCTGTTGCGCAGAATAAGCCACGCTTTGAAAAAAATCTCCAGAATGTGTCCCCCCCAATCTTCGAGGAATTTTTTCAAAATTCTCAAGTAACTTTCTGAATCTTCCCTCAAAATATAAAATAAATCCGTACAAGTAGGAAAAAATTATCGACTGAGTTGCCATAAGAAATGGGTGTTTCGGCGTTAGTACTGAGCAGGTAAAAAGGTAAAAATATTATGTCTTAGTAAGACTTGTTTCACTCACCATTTCTGTAGGTTGTCCACCCATATCGTGAATTTGAATGTACGTGCCGTTAATACTAAATCGGAAGTCTTGTATATCTGTAGTTAGGGTGCTAAATTACGTGTAATGACTACGTCCATATTAGTGAGAAATTATTTTTATTTATTTAAATTCGAAATTATCAAGTTCCATATGCAATGAAAATGTAATTAATCGTTAAAGATAGTTCGGACAAATTTATCATCTTTACCCAATCTAAAGTACATAACGTCTGAGCATTCTTGATACCGTATTTGATCACAATGTCTCAAGGGTTTTACTGATGATGAAGTCCAAAAATTTTAGCTTCTCTTGGGGTCATGTGAAGGCACTAATCACTTCAGCAAAGTTTTCAAACTTAATCTGAACTGCTATATTGCCTTTTTTATCTATCACAGTTTTGAAGGTCAAATATCAAAGTACACACTCCACTGATTACTCGAAAAAATTGTTTGTGTTACCTAGTGTTCATGATCTTGCCTTTTGAATTCTAGTGAACGAGCCCACTTTCCTTCGCCGCGCTACCTCCTCTATGGAGGTCTAGCTTATTGCGCACAGATGTGGTAAAATAGCGATCAAAAGTGACCGCGAAAATTTCGTGGCTTATTTTGTCTCAACTTGAAACATTACTCTCTGATATCAAATATATTCTGTTCAAGCACTTTGAATCCTTTTTAAACTCCTGAAGAATAACCTTAAAGGAATCCTTCCACGGACCAAATGACACAGTGGCGGGACCGGAAAAGTGGTTTGCGACAGAAATGCCTCATGTAAGGTCTACGGATCCACGTGTCGAACGCACGAACGTGAACAGGATTCACTTCAAACCTTCCCATGAACGTGGATCCGTACCTACCATGCATTTCGTCACAAAACTACTTCCGGTCCCGCCCAGTGGTCCATTTCCGTGGAAGATTCCTTAAGCATAAAGTACCATGGCTGATTTTTAGTTTTTTTTGTGAGATAAACATGCGCTAAAACCGCCCGGCAACTTTGACTGTACTGTGATCAGAATGTTAGCTAGCTATCAGTGATGATCAGGTTTAGCAAATCGAAAAACTATTCCACAGGAATGCGATTTTCACAAAATTCTTACCCCAGCATGACCTCGACAGCCCTCTAAGTACTTCGTTGCAGTTTCAAGTGCACTACAGTTGCGCAAAAACCGAGCAACGCGTTTCGCCTCCTGCTCAAACTTTCATGATGCTAATTGCCATAGCAAATAAAAAATAGGGCTGCTATGACAAGGTACAGGCTATTGTTGATGCAATGCATTATATTTTTCCTTCTTTACGACGGGACTAGCCTCGAGGCGTGTAGGAAGACTTCAGATTGCGTGAGCAATTTACATTTTTCCCTGGGATTCTGCCCATTTCTAGGCTTAGTCCTGAAGCATGCCCCCTTGCGTTAGCGTCTGAAAAAGTGAAACCAAAGAACAAACAAGCCAAAATTGAAATAAAATCCTTGAGCTATTCGATCATAGCACCATTATGACTATTCGGATTTCATTCCAGAACAAGAGGGAGTACCTTGCATGAACGATATCAATCGTAGTCAACTCCACATTATCATCGAATAAGCGTTTGATTTGTTTTTCTGAAAGGAATTTCAACGTTCCATCTTCGATTCGCCATTTCCTAGCCATTTTGTGATGTCTTTCCAGTGTGTCAGATATCTGCAATAGAGAATCTTCATATTTCCCATTAAAAATTAATATAATTTTGTCTTTGACCATCCACTAACATTTGGGTCCCGTAATACTTCGATAACATCGTCTCCAAGAGATGACGGAACATCTACATCGAAAGTGCCTTTTCCTTCTTTAACGGCATTGTCGACGACGGCTAGAATTGCCTCCACACTTTTTGAAGGCTGGCATTCATGACCCCATTCGGTTGTCTGCTAAAAAGATTAGGGCGTTATCTAAGAAGGAGATAATCTGGTGAGTTTATGAAAAACAAACTCTACAGTTCAGCAAAAATAGAAGCAATCCATATATAGCAGTAAAATATAAGCCTAATAATTTGAAAACCACATTACGATTGCCCAGACGTGGGTTATTGCACTCGAAACGGCAGTGTGATGTGGGATTTGATCAAACAGTAGTGTTAAAAATGCAAATGAATTTGCCAAGAAGCCTCATATGGGCGGAGAGAAGTACGCCACCTCCTCTCTCATTGGTAATTTTTGTATCCAAAGGGGGATCTAGTAATGAGGACAAAGTGCTGCATCGGTCTCCGCCCATACGATCAGCATGAAGCGTGCAACAGTTTTTGGCAGGGTCGTTTAGTGCCCTATTGATTGAATTTCGACGATTATCGCATCGTCACCGTTTTTTGCGCAGACCCACATCTAGGTGCTCATGTAATGTGCCTTTAAGTCTGCACTGCAATTTGTTGTTATAAGATTACAATTCGAACTTGAATAAAAAAATTAAGTTTGTAGAACTGCTAACCGTACCTGAATGAGGTTGTAAGTGGCTGTCATTATGTTATTGCGAATAATTTTCCGAAAACTGGACATTTCTTCGCTCGTAAATATATTATCGACTGGAATTTCACTCCAGTCTGCATCAAAGACCTGTAGAAGCAGAGAGTTTGCTTAAGATAAGAAATGAACATATCGATTGTGATGCAAGAAGTTACCTTGTAATTTTTCGGCCGTTCCTTGCATAAGCATTTCAGCTGTCGTACTACAGTTGTCTTACCAGCACCACCAGTACCAATCATAAAGAAACGGACAATTTGGCGATTATTATTCTAAATGAGGCTGTTATATAAGGCACTAGCCAAGTTCTAGTTGTTCTATGAGTGGGGTACTACCTGATATTGATTGACGTACCTGAAATTGAACTTCTTGGTTGCAACATTGGGATACAAAGGAGCCCATTTGGCGATCTAGGAGACCAGTGCACTGACGGCATTCGTCGATATGCGGCGATTCGTATAGAGAGAATTGCTGCGGTGTCTTCATCATTGCTATCGAAGATTACGAATGTATTTGTATACTGACAAGTGGGCAGCGGGAATTTACGAACTTACACTCGAGGTCCTACAACTACAATGTTGCATCTTCTATCCATTATTCCTCCCAACTAACTTCGCTTTGGGTTTGGCAATATCTAGCGATTCCTTTTTATTGCAGATTCATTATGTTTCTTCATTCGTTCCTCAGTGTTTGATCGGTCTCCTGTCTGCTGTATTAGAAATCTTGGTCGATGGAGTTATTTTTGAACTCCGGTTAATAGGCAACTACTGTTATGGCAGGACTTTTCAAAAAATGAACACTCATCGGGTTTGTATGAATGTTCTCCATTTGTCCTTAACTATTTGTGTTTTTTCTGCTTTGTGACCGAGGTTGTAAGGAGATAGAATTTGATTCTAGCCATCGTTTCGACCAGTGGTACACGTCGCTTCAAAGGGCTTGCACTTTACAAATTTGTAATTGTTACTACTTAAACATACGCCTCCTTCCTCTAGGTTATATGAGACGTAGCAAGAAGTAAGACGGCATACATCGAACCAAAGGCCACAATCACCCGGCGGAAAGTTCGTACACCGATCCACATTGTCTATAGGTAGCCCCTGGAGGGCTAGATGTGGGAACCGTGCACGGGAAACACCGCGATGGGGCGCTAATTTGCTTGCGCAAATTGAGCTCAGCACAGCCAATTAGGAAGGTGAGTGAGCCCTCAACCTGAGCGTTTTCGACGGATTCTTTTCCTTTTTTCTTACTGCCGGCCCATTTCGCTCCAATACATTCGCATTCGTGTGCAAGAGCCACACCAATGTGATTCCTGGGGCATGCCTTCAAAAGCATGCGTTATTGACTAGCGTCAGAAAATTGAAGGAGTAAGAGTGCTGCTTTTTGACCTTGGAGCAGGTTTTTAGATTTTTTGAAAACGGTGGACGGTCTAATGATTGCCCAGAATGAGTTTACCAACTAACAACCCAGTGGAGGAAGTATATAAATACAAGCAGTAACCAAAAAGTATCTCAATTCAGGATACGAGTACGCAACCCCATCAACCGTTATCGACGTTACTAACCGACTGCTTTTTTCCTGCACTGAAATCTAACTCAGGAGACGGCAGACGGATTCGGAGACGAGCCGCAGTGCATACTGTAGCGCACTTAGCGTCAACTCAGTAGGTCTCTAGTGCGTTCCACATCGCAAATATCGCGTGCGGCTAGTCCGTCGATTCCATCTGCGTCTTGCGCGATTCTCGTCGCGCGATGGGCCTCCTGTCGGGCCCCTTTCAGAAATCTTTCAAGATGGGAGGGCTTGGAATCTGCCCTGGCATTGTTTCCCTCTAAAAGCATTTGTTCTGATTTGTGATTGCAATTCAGACATATCGCTTCACTTTCCTTTTATCCTTGAAGACACAGTCTGACTGGATAATACGTTAGATCTTACGGCTCAGGTTTTGAAGAGGACGCGTGAAAGCAAGTAGTGTGTCATGGGAAGCACGTGAAAATTGCAAGAAAAAGCTGCACTGTTGATTTTTGATGAGCTTTTCTGAACTACGCAGTGTGGTACATAATCAGCAGTAAACAATGCAATAAATGTAATTCAACGCTCCGATTACGCTTAGATATTTACTCTCAAATTCAGTCAATATACATTTAAAAATAGGTTTTTTTTGCTTGATGTTTTCACCATGGAAGAAGAAACTTTCAGGCTTCAGTTTTTACTAGTGAGTCTCTTTGAGTGTTTTAGGTTGGTGATATAATTTTTTTCACATTAGCTACGCTTTTTGAACTTGTCCCTTGACTTCCTCTTCTAAGCTAAGAAGGAACTTTTCAAATTTAGCTGGATACAAATCGAATTCCTGTGCTTTCGCATTTCGCAAGGACTTGAAGCACATTCCTGTGCTCTAAGTCCTTTCGACCATGATTTGGTTTGCGTTCGTAAGAGGTTTAGTGCATTGTTCGCAGAAAGTTCTTGAAGGATTTGCTCTTTCTCTTTAACCGTATCATCAAGCTATATCCAAAAAATACTTATTTTCAAAGACGATTTAATTGAAAATTAATGAGTATTGCAGGTTGCGATCAAGAATGACCTCGATGTATTCTACTTCGCTTGCATCGTACCGTTATTGGTGTTCTTCCATGAATCGGGTCAGATGGAGAAAAGAGAATTCTTGGATATGTGGAAAGAAATTCCTGAGCAAAACGAGCAGCAGTTTACAATTCAGAACACTCAAAATCTAACAGCAGGTGAGTGGTTTTACCTTTCCAGTTTTTTGTATGGTCCTGATGTCATTTCTTCTTGATTTTTAACTCTCGCCGCAGAGCTCACTTCTCATCATCATCTCCTCCTCCTTTTCGAACTCCGGTTTTTACTTTGAAGCGTATTTCCCTCCACTGGTGTTTGTTTTTTTTCCACAACCCTTACCGTCCATTTCAGACGCGATTTGTGCCAAGCTTCAGCAGAATAATGTGATGACAGTAGCGAGACGTAGTGTTGAAGGGCAAGAGCTTCTCTATCACTCGATAAAATACACAAATAACATTTTTGTGCTTAGCGAACTGAAGATTCATCAAGCATCCACGGCACTTACCGTATGTCATTCATAATTTTTACTTCAGTATGACTGCTTATTTATGTCTTTTTACTGGAGTCAATATTTTCAGCTGTCGTTGAAGTCACGTCATGTCCCAGCAGTTGCGAACATGAATGAGATGTTCCAGCTTATTCTCAGCAATTAGTTCAATGGTTGAGTGGTCTTATTTTCATTCCAAGTAATGCTAGTGTTATACTTATTTGGTGTTATCAAATTTAGTCCTCAATTGTTATATAACTAATACTGTATAAGGTTCTGAGCGATTTTTTAGTTATGGTTGTGCAAATCTCTTATGCTGCATGAGTTACCGTGATAGCTAAATAATAATTTATTTATTTGTTTGGAATAAACTTGTATTCTGGTCCTCAGGCTATGAAGTTACTTTTAGAGCTTCTTTGGTTGCTTTGCGCCAGATGCCTCTGTTAACCCTTTTGTTTTGGCATGGTGTTTGGTTTGTGCATTCTCAAAATTAACCCATAACGGACGGCCAGTGTATTTGTTCGCGTGCGCCACCATGTGGCGCACGCCGCCACCCAGGGTAGGGTTTATGTAGGCTTATGCGAACAGCAGGGTTAAGACGGGGCTAAAGTAGGTGTCCGTGTCTCATCATCCAAAAGAAGAGATTTCCGTTGACGACAAGTTCGTAGCCCGCCTTTCCGCTCTAAAACTAGGGTGCAAAGAATGAATGGAAGCTGTAGGTGACATTATCGAAAAATGCGAAACAACAACCCCGAGCAAGGATGTGGCTATATTTAGGGGAAGGGGTCTCGGGACGTGTGAACCATGGGTAAGCCACCCATCAAATAGTAAACTTATGTAAATTAAGACAAAATGTATGTAAAATTATTTGTAGGTTTGTCAAAAATCCAGTCGTCCAGGTCCTGGGAAGATATGTTATTCCACATTGCTGAGAGTATATATGGGTATATTAAGATTGCTAGAAACATTCCAAAAACAAAAGAAATAGTCGTGCGCCACCTTGTGGCGCACGCCGTCCGTTATGGGTTAACCGCTGCTGTAATAACTTCGTATTTTGGTGTGTGTTTCTCAAAAGATTTCCCATTTGTGTGGATGGGTTTGAAAGTGAAATCTAAACTGTATTGAATTTTACAGAGAATGCTTTGGCGATTTTGTATGAAAAATAGGTAAACAAACAGTCGGAAGATGTCTCAAGCAATTTGAACCGATAACAGGTGTAAGGTGAAAGCGAGTAATTGTTGAGTATTCGCCCGCAATCTTTTGGACTAATAATTTGTTTTTGTCCGGGTAGGAGGACTGCGAGGCGGGCCCGCTTTACCCCTTACCCAAATAGAGGGCGAGTAAGTTGTTACGCCGTCTCGGGTGATGAACGTGACGAGGGATATGGAATAACCCGCACAGTATGGACGTTATTTTGTGCTTTATAAACCTCGACACCCCTTTGCGGAAATGTTCACGCATCAGAATATTCGCCATTTCCCTAAAAATAACATTCTCCATCGCAACAAACCTATAAAGCGGGAGGGGGGGGGGAGGGCAGCAACTTAGGATAATGGAATTTCGGAGCACCCTAAGAGTCTTATCTAAGGGCCTTCATCCAACGAAAAAGAGATGTTTAAGCGCGCTCTATTCAAATGCATTGCCACAAATGCCACGTATCCTGCATAGCGCGCCACGTACATATCTGGGACCAAAGGGCTACTTCCCGAATTTTCTTGGTTTCAGCATATGCGAGTCGGGAGCGCAATTTTGAAACGCGTGATTCCTGTCGCTCTAGAGCTGATGTGAATGGCGATGAATGCCATGATTTCACTTGTTGTTGGAAAATGGTCTTCGCTGTTTCCTCTATGTTGTTACTGGCATCTGAAATGAACCGATTCAAATCTTGTCAAAGCTGCTGAAAACTATATGATTTAACTGAACTATGCGCTTCGTTGAATAGGATACTAGGCAAACAAGAAAAAAGTGTCAGGATCAAGGGTAAGTATTTGGATTCTTCTTTCTCAAGGCACGTTCGGACTCAGCAAATATCGCGCGAGTCGAAAGTTATTGTGAGTTGGTCGATTACTCTGCCGAAGTGGGTATTAAACCGGAAGCAAAATGCAACTGGCGCTGCAACCTCTTCACAATTGATTATGAGTGCTTGTAGGAGCGCGTGATTGTGCTACTCGAGGCCGATCTGCTGACACCATTGCCTGTAGGGCGAGCTCTCATCAGTGGCGAGGTAAGACTGCATGGTGGGCTAAACACGTAGAACGAGTTTTTTGCAGCGGATTATCATCAATGTACTTTGGTTTGGCAACTGGTGCTCCGCAAAGAAAGTCTGGCAAAAATATTCCATTTGATATGCTAGGAATGTTTGGGGTTTTTCGGGTTGTTTTCGGGGATGCTCGTGGTGTCTCCTCTTTGTACCGGGCAACATTTGGATTTCAGGTGAAGCTCCGAGACGGAAAAATAGAAACAAACGTTGCCGATGTTGGCGAACGGGTCTACCACGTTATACGTTCGAGTGGTGATCAAATACAACCGTCTCGGCCTTTTTGAGCGAGGGCGTTCCTAAGGACGTGGGGTAGAGGGTGCTTTACAAATAAGGTCCAGCAGTTGCTAGGATTTAAATCGATGGCTGAATTGATAAGCTATGATGAATACACCATGAAAAGCTGATTTAGGGTGAAGCGTTGCCACACAGTAGCGTAACTTGTCGGTAAGTCGGTTAAAGTGGGCGTTCAAGCAGGGTCAAGCGTGCGTTGAGGAATCCTCGACATGTCACAGAGGGGGGGGGTCGTATTGGCCCGCTGGGGAGAGATCGGGCCCGATTGATACAGTAGGATCATCGTCGGAGGACAAACATTAAGGATCGAATCGATACCAGGCCAGAGTATTTCCAATAACAATTGATTCCGTCCACACAAAATCTTCGTGATTTAGAGGTGTCCGCTTAGCAATTCTTAGTGACTTTAGTGTTTCATCACCACACAAGTCAAAGGATCCGAAATTCGCACGTTTTCTAGGGATATTTTATCTTTCAAGTAGGTCCTCAAATCCAACGAGATGTGAAGCACACGGCGCATCCCAGAGTGGGCCCAGTTGGTTGCGCGCGCTTCAGCTACGGCTATCTTGATAACGAATCTTAATTCAGGAAGAATCAAGAGGGTTCTGAAAGAGTTCATGTTAAATTACAGAGAGGAGTACACTATTCAACAAGAAACGCAGCCTTCAGCGTCAAATTCACAAGCATGTAACCTTTAAAGTTGAGACCCGCTAAACAATTTTACACTTTTTGCAGAGAGAAAAGCACGAGGATTTTGAATCTGCTCCTACTTCAGTATGTAATCGCTCCTGCAAGGAGCTATAGTCGTTGGGATAGTGCTAATGTAGCGAAAAAGTACCTTTCGGCGGTACTCGGGCAAAAATCCTCAACGTGGCCATTTTTTAAATAGTGAACGTATTTAGCAGTTTTAGTTGCCTATAGAAAGAGCAAATCTTCTAGTTTATGATGACGTATTAACTTTCCAGATTGCATGAGTTTGAACGGAGTTATGGCTTTGGAAAGCGTAAAAACTCGCACTCATCACGAATTTTCCTCGTTAATTTTGCAAAAATCCTCAACGTGGCCATTTTTTGAGTACTGGACGTATGAAGCTGCTTAGCGACCGTTTGATAGAGAAAATCTTCTAGTTTTGTATGACGTATCAACTTTTTGAATTTGACGGAAAATGAAGCAAGTTATTGCTCCGGAAAGTGTAAAAACTCGTGCTCGTCTCGAATTTTCCTCGTTATTTGATCTAAATTTGTTATTTCTTATAACTTCCTGTAATTTCAGTACTGATTAGAAGCTCTTCACAAAACTCCCAAATCAGCTTTCAGATTGAAAATTCGTTAACTTTGAAGAAAGTTATAATCATTTGAATATTTGTTCAAATTTCAATAGTAAATAAGCTGCTCCACGGTCAACGCCAAAGTCCAGTCAACACACAGCTGGCGAAGGCTTTTACAAGGCTTCCTTTGAGCGAAAGGGGGACGTGTAAATTGAGAACCATAATCTGTGTAGTACTAGAATTTGGTAAGTCTTGTGGAGGAAATAAACAAAGAAGAGGTGTTGTCATAGTACGCCATTTCTAGTGACTAGTTTGACGTTTTTTGCTCCGTTTCTCGTTTGCTCGTTTGACAGGACTCGTCATTAATGATCATTCTTTGACTTTTTCACTTTTATACTTTTTAAACGAGTTTTTTTTGTGGACGATGGGGTAGCAGGGCTTTTTTATGAGCAGTTTTGGTGGAGAATTAAACAACTTTTTCATAGTTCGGCTTTTAAAGAGGGTTGTTTCATGGACTTCGGCCTTCGGCAGAGGGAGGGGGGTCGTATTTCCGAATTTTCCTCGACGCCTCGCTTGACCCTGGTTCCCCCTGCGGTCCTATAAAAGTATCTGACAATTGCCCTGGTGAAACTAAGAAAACATTTTTTATAAGATCTCCGATGATCATAGATTAATCACAGAGACACGATCTAATTGAGTCATTCCGTTATGCAGAAAGTAGGTAGGCATGAAGAAGATACGTAATAAAACTAGTTGTCTAAATAGCAGGCACTTTTTCAGCGACCGGTGTAACCGCGTTACGATTACGCTTGGAAATCGACGACGCTTTTGGGGTCTTCGTTTCATCGGATTTCTGTAATATGACGTGAAAAGTGCACATGTTGCCAACAGTGACCATTTTCTAAGACAGCTTACCGATCCTTGTAGTCCTGACTTTTTCCTAATGCTCGATCCTTTTTTAACAACCTGAAATAGAGAAAAATCCTGAGTCATGAACGATCTTTGACTTGCTGAACTAATGTACAGCCCATCAAGGGATATAGATATTTCGTGACGCTGGTCGGAGCACGGTTTTAACGTTCGAATGCCGATTCGACTTTGAATGCAATAAGAGTGCGTGGCGCACCCTAGAAGGAGTTAACTAACACTTGAAGGAGGTGGTCGCGATGAATCCCATAGGGATGAGTGAGAGTCACATCAATGAGGAAATCAACAGGCATAGAAGAGGGTTTTTCGGGTTCTGGGCCGTTTCTCATAGTCTTATCTTCATCCTGGCACCACTGGCACCACTGTCACCTCTATCTTGATCCTAATAAGCTGCCACATAATCGTAAACTCAGCTTTTATTTGATTGGATCTTCAATTGCAGAGTGTATCCATAAGTAAACACTTCCCATTTTTCATATTACATAGGGCGGAAGTGGTGTAGTGGACAAGTGGCGCGCTTACCACGCGAGCGGTCCGGGGATCAAATCCTGGGTCGTGAGTCGCCCGGGCCAACCAAGCCTTCCATCCCTCCGGGGTCGGTTAATTGGTACCAGACTTGTCTGGGAGGATAAAAACACTGACTTGTACATCGGCTGGCCCCCGCAAGTCATTGTATAGGCCACATCGCATTCAAACGCCACTGCGAATGTACAAATGGAAGTAGAATGCGTGCCGCATCCCAAAAAGGGATCAACGGCAAATGCTTTATCCTTTATCTTATTATATAGCAGAAAAAAACACGAAACAAACAAGTGTTCGCAGTGACAGCCTGTTGGGTACGTCATGCTCCTAGACTCGTTTAAATTCATGTAATGCTGATGCACGGATTTCTGGTAAAATGTGTACGCATCCAGTACGTTATCTTTCAACGAGCATAGTACTTCAGCCAATACGGAGAGGGAGCTTGTTGGCCTGAGAGCCGATGTGACACTTCTTCTTGCACATGGTATTGCCATACCGACTTCATCAAAACAGGCTCAAACGGTTCGTTCTCCAATCACAGAAGACGCTTCCCCCTCCCCCCCCCCCCCGCTCTGATTCTATTTCTAAATCAAAGAACGGGTGGATATAGACCTCATCGACGCGTGCGTTGTAGGACCTTCGCTGTTGGCACTCTTTCTCTGAATGGTCGCTTGTCTAAAAAAACGGATATTTCTGTCTCCGCGCAGCCCTGTCTCCACCTTAGGAGAGAATCAGCGGCGGGGAACGTCTCATTATGGAGGAAGTATACGGTCACAGAAGTAGTATCATTGTGGTTTGGTGTAGGGATGGTTGTACTGGGGTCTTGATAGGATGTTCCCCATTGCGAGGATTCTCAAGTTTCGGTGATTTCACTAGGTGCTGAAGTGGTGTGTGGCGGGTCTACGCACAGAGTTGTTGTAGAGAGATATGGTGTGTGAGGTCTTCCACGGAGATGGTCATTCGAATTTCAAAGTTTTGTCCAACGTTAGGTGGTCCTGACGGGAAATATCGTTTGAGCGTGATACCGTATGCGAGTGGACTATGAAATTTTGCTGCGGAAGAAATTCATCCACCTTAACTCTATTCTACCCACCATATTTGGCTCGCCCTCTGTCCATAAAAAGCTCGCGCCCACTTTTTTGTGTTGAGCTGCTTTAGCGTTTGGTGAATTTTCAAAGCTGATAAAGGTTCTTGGAAGGGGCAACAGAGAAAATGGAAAACCTACTCGACTATTCTTGGGCCCTACTTCGAACTCTTTCTCATGGTCATCAAGGTTCACCATTTTGCCATCACCAGGAGGACCTGTTGGTCCGGCAAATTCATGATGTATATCCCAATCCAATGGATCTGTCGGCTTGATGTTATTCGACTGAATTCATTGAAAATGCTCTTTGGCTCGGATTTAATTTAGAAATTGAATAAAAATTGAAATTTCTGGTGGGTAAAGTGGAGTTTCGAGGCACCTTATGAAACTTACATCTCAGTACTGAGTGCATTTCTTTAAATAAGACAAGATAACACGTGACGCGACTCATTTCTTAGTATTTTTCATCTTTCACATCTTTATCCACACATATGTATGCCTCACCCATATCCAGTTTCTGCCGGCCGGATCACCCGTTCTGAAAGCTCCTGGCACCCGCTACGAGAATCGTTCAGGATTGACGAGTTTTCATAAATGTATGACATGGTGGCACATGGACCACAGAACCATGGCCCATTTTTCCTGAACGGCCCTCTGAATACCAGAAAAGGGGTCCCTAGTTCGATTCCTCGTGGTGACAAATTTTTGCATTTCGAGTTGACGTTTCAAAATTCGCGCAAAATGGAGTTAGCATGAATAATTAATTAGAATCAAATTCTATTTGTAAGGTTCTGGAGGTCCTTAATTAGAAGTATGGGCATGTTATGCATGCTTATCATTTTGCTCGAATTTCGAAGCTTTAACTTGAAATGCAAATAATTGTTACAGAGGAATTCGAACTAGGGCCCTTATTTTCGTATTTATGGGGACCGTTCATGGAACGGATCATCTATTTCTTTGTTCCGTACATGCTATAGCATGCAGAACCGTTGTGGAATGGTTACACTACATAACCTGTTAGGCAATCCATGTCTCGCGGTTCTTGACGTGCAAGCAAAAATTTGAAGGCATCACAAGAGTACTTCCAAGCTATACTGGTACTTATCAGAAGAAGGTGCTCACGTCATTAGGGGGGTGCATTTAAGTGAGTGAACCACTTACAGAACTTAGGACTGCGCCTTAGGGAGCAGAAGGGATTTGAGGAACGGACGGGGCGAGTTCTTGTTTCCCTGGCATCTTTGCCCGCTCGCGAACTTAGTCATAGTGTACTACATTTTTCTGTGCCTTGTTATTTTGAATGCCATGAGCTGGTATGCAGAAGTATTTTGAATGGTGATCACCTGCTATAAACGTTCTTATTATCGGAGCCCAATGAGTGCCACCTCACCTAAATCTCACCTTTAGGGTGTCATATCTGCTGGCGCTTGTCTAGGGAAGCCTGCTACAGCCCTATTAGGATCTTAAATACCTGATTTATGTGATCAAGACGTAGGGAGATTTTCTATCTTTTTTCTAGGCATTATAAGGTTGGTTCTGAGAAGTAGCACGAATCATTTATTATTCGTTTATATGTTTTATCTTTCTTAGGGTGGCGATTTTTATTTTTTTTGCCTTTTATTAAAACCCCATAGGTTAAAATAAACTGACCTTGCATGCGTGTTGAATACAATAATAAACAAAATTATAATCGGGTATGGAGAAATATGTCAATTCGTAGAGGTACTGAAAACCATTCAGTTGAAAATGCAGTGAGTGCAATGACTGCGACAGGCGGAAGCTGTTTGAGACACATTCGTTGGAGGAAGTTTCATCATATCAGTTGGCGTTCGCGTCGATTTCAAATTCGCTATGAATCCTTCCCTATAGGGACAACGATCCGTCCCTCATACCAACGCACTTGAGAGAGGTCGCCCACGTATGTGACCCACTTAGCACTCCACCACACCTTCGCCATTATAGCTGCTTTTATAATGCTTGATTCTAAACATAAGACGATCGACGAACTTCTGCCCACATTTCTCGTTCTAAAGACGGTTAGTCCCCCAGGAGGCCATCGCGCGGCGAAGGAGCAGCGCAGACGCGGCAAAGGACGAGTCGCAGCACGCTGATGTGCGATATGAGACGTAGTATGGTACACTCTGTTTAGCCGAACGCCTTAACCGCTACAGTATGCGCTGCGACTCGTCCTTTGCCGCGTCTGCGTCTCTTCCTTCGCCGCGCGATGATCTTATGGGAACAACCCCTGAAAGGAATCAAATCGTTCGATTATCACTCATGCTTTATTCGTGAAGCTCGCAAACAGTCAAAAACCCGGCAACAAAGACAATTTTACTCCAATACACAACCTTACGGGTCTTTCCCCCGTCGACTTCAATTACGACCTTAACCTAATAAAAAAAAAAACCACAAATGCGATCGCTCCGTCCCACACTTCACCCTTCCATTGATAAGGGGGCAATATAGCCATTAGAGTAAATGCTACCTACTTTGATTATTCGCTTATATTCTCGTTCTGGACAGTTCCTAAGGAAGACGGCCATCGCCGATTCACTGTCACGTACTTCTTCCTTCATTTAAGCACTTCCTCTTCTGTTATCTGCTGAAGAGAGCTTAATCGTGAGCTAGATGTCCTGTGGGCAGCAACCGATAATCGGAATTTGACTTCTTTCGAATTTTCTGTACATTCTCTTCATAATCTGTCACTTCCTTAAACCCATTTATTGATTGAAGGGTTCAGCTCAGTTATAAAGTACGGAAAAGAGCTAATGTTATATGTCGATCATTGGGATTGAAAGAAGCAATATTCATAAAACATTCAACATGACGCCTTTTCGCTGTTGAATAGTAGATTGCACGAGCCTCTTTGCAATAAATTTTGCTACTTGTAATATGTCGAATGACTGCCTTAAAGTCCGTTCACAGTTACACGTTCTAGCGCCATCCCACTTTCTTGGCACTGTTCATTATTGAAGCCTTTTCGCATATAGCCAGGTTAACAGCTTTAAACCCATTTAGACGAAACGCAGTATGGAAATTCCGTAGTTCTGTATTAAGGGCGATAGTAAATCGCAGAGGACTTCTGAATGATTACCGGGATAGCATGCCTTGGACGCAGCCTCAGTTCCGCCCATGACAGATAATTTTGTATTATTTCTTATTTAAAGATAAAACCTTGTATTTCCGCCATGGAAGGCCACCTGATGTCCACTCAACGACCATATACATCCAACCTTCAAGATCATCCTTTCGCGATTGTTCTATCTGAAAAGTAAAACTTTTCGCTTCCAGGAATCATGGCAAAACGGTTTTTCTCGTCGATCAAGTGAAGCAGCGGTGTTAGCCTCTATCGTTTTGGGATTGCAGTCCTATCAGCATACCTATCAGCATACCTTAAAACTGTACTGGAATTCATTTTTCCCACCCTGCCTTACATAGCAGCTTTATCATTGCAGTTCTGAACCTAAGCAGGAATTCTACGATCTACTCAAGGATAGTGCCAGAATTTGCGGACAATCGCTAGCGAATTCGGTTACAGGCCGATGTCAGACTTTGCAAATCAAGGAATTCGCAAAGTTTGGCATCGGGTACAGTCTGACAGCTGCTCAAGGAGGTGGATGAAGCTCAAGTCCAGGGTGAATATCGGTCGAGGAAATCCTCGACAGGGGGGTCGTATTTGTCAGGCTGGGTCATGGGGGGTCGTACTCTTGGGGGTCAGTAACGTCAGTGGCATCGTGGTGCAGATAGGAGGGAGAGGGTGTAGCGCAGCAGAAAACAAGGATATGTGAGAAAACATGATATAAAATATTCTTTGCAGGTTCAGTCGCTCCATTCCTCTACCTTCGAGAAGGAAGTATTTGAAAGTAGTACAAAGAATGAAAGTGCATCTTTGCAAGGAACAGGGTCACATGTGCACACGCGCTGCAAAGGCACCTCCTCTATCTACCGCCCGCTCCCTCGCCCTCAATACCTCGTTGAGAATGACACTGTTGTTAGGGACGCTGTCGCAAAAACGGCAACAGTTCTGGAAAGACCCTGGGCAAATGAAGCTGTTCCTTAGGTTACTACAATACAGTTTCTGTCAACAGGTCATCATCATATGTGTAATTCCTTTCAATAGATTCTACAACTTGAGTGGAGGAGGTCGGATGCATGGCCTATACTGAGACGAGATCGGACGATGACGATTGCCCCTTTTCTTGTCGCTTACGTTGGGAGAATTATTCTAGACACATTTCGAGCGTTGCCAACGAATTACTTGCAATGGTGAAGAAGGGAGCGGCTTTTTCAGGTGGCCGAGATCCATCCTCGATAGATCCTCGACGCAAATATCTCCTCAACTAGAAAATGTAGAAGAAAGCTAAACAGACTGTTAGGCAAACCTTCCGCTTTCCAAAACTATCTTCCTTTTTCAGGATCTTACAAAATTAGAGAGATATTGCCTTTGAAGTGGCAAAAACTCGCATGAAAATTCAGCATCCTCGACGCTCCCTCGACAAATTTGAGAGACCCTATCTCTTCGAGTGTAATGAAGGTT